GTTGTTATTCCATTAGATTTTTTCAGTTTATATATTAAATCAGGTGTTAACACATGCTGGATGATGTTTTTCTACTTTGTGTATCTTCATGGCTCTTATAACCACGGCATATTTAATTGCTTTGTTTAGTTTAGTGTCTGCCTCCATTCCCTGGAATGTAAGCTCATGAGGGCAGAAATATCTGTTCAGTCTGTTATTAAATCTCCAGTGATAAAAGCAGTACTTGGCATAATTAGGGTCTCAGAAAATATTTGTGAATAATAATGGTGGATAGAAAGATGTATGTATATATGGGTAGGTGGGCAGGTGGGCAGATGGATAGGCCCTATCAACTGTGAAAACTTAATATAAAATTATAGTAATTAAGGTAGTACAGGTATTTGCACAGAACTAGAAAACTAGACTAATGGAATAAGATCTAGACCTCAAAATACCCTATGCTGACTAAAAACTTTGTACGTGACAGACTGAGATATAAATGGTACAAGGATTATGCAGAAATATACAGAAAATGTACTGAGTCCTAAACTGATACCATATAAAGAATATCAATTGCAGGTGACTTAAACTCAAGAGGCATAACTTTAAAAATTTTTAAAGGAACTATAGAAGAATGTCTTTATGACGGAGGGGTAGGAAAGGATGTACTGAATAAAAGCAAAGCAAAGGAAAGCAAACCAAGCAAAAAACACCTACCTTAAAGGGAAGTACTGATATAGTTCTTTACATTAAAAAATTTTTAAGTTTTATTTTATGGGCACCTCGGTGGCTAAGAGGTTGAGCATCTGCCTTTGGCTCAGGGCATTATCCCGAGTCCTACATCAGACTCCCCAGAGGGAGCTTGCTTCTCCCTCTGCCTCTGTCTCTACCTCCCTGTGTCTCTCATGAATAAGTAAATAAAATCTTTTTTTAATAAATCTAAAAAGAGTTTTATTTTAAACAAAATAAAAAGACAAGCATTGGACCAGGAAAAATAGTTGGAACATATGCAACTGTAAAAGAGTTGCATCCAAAGCATGCAGATTAGTACAGAAGGTACTAATCCCAAGGTATCACTACATATTTTGATTGAATATTACCATTTTACCATTTTGCTATTTCTTTCCATGGATTTTGCCCACATCAATTTTATGACTTAGGTAAATATCACCTGCCAGGTAAGGTCATCCTTGACTACCTTATTTGAACTTGAGGTCCCACCTTAGCCCTCTTCAGTACTCCCTCTGCTTCTGCTTTTTCCATGACACATATGACCATATGACACACTAGGCACTCTGCTTTCCTATCTGCTTAGGGTACATGGCCTCCCTCCTGTAACAACAGAAAAACATGGGCATATATAAAAGCAGCAGAAGAAACCTAATAGAAAAAAAATGTATAAAATAAAAATAATAAAAGAATGTTCAATCTCACTAGTAATTAGAGAAATCCATGCCAAAATATAAGATATTTTAAATCCTCCATTTTGGAAACATTTTAAAGTGTGGCAATACCAAATGTTGGTGATACAATGAACTCATGCTGGATCAGTATAAATTGCTACTGACACTTGGTAGATCCACGTGTTACATCTAATAACTTTGAAGATGCATAGACCACAGAGAGATCTCACACATATGTATCCAAGGAGTGTGACAATGTCCACTGCAGCATTACTTCTTTTTGCAGTTTGAAAACAGCCCAAATGTTAATTCATACGAATGACTAATCAGAACATAACATATAATAAAATATTATCTAAATGTTAAAATGAAAGAATTTAAGCCACTATCAAAGTGGCTAAATCTTTAAAACATATTTAAGAAAATAAGCAAGCTTCAGATGGATGCCTACAGTGGAAAATCATTTAAACAAAGTTTTAAAACATATGAAAACATTGCTATATGGTTTTTGTGGATGCAAGCATGTAGTAGAAGCAGAAAAACATGCATGGAAATTTGAGGGTATAGTTATTTTTGTGGAAATAGGAAGGAATTCATAGGGTAATTTTGCTTATATTTATAATGTTTCTTTTTAAAAGGAAATATCTGAAGCAAACATGACAGAATGGTAATATGTGACCAGGCTGGGTGGCAGTACATAAGTTTTGGTTATAATTATGTCTATACTCAACTTCATGCTTGAAATATTTAATAAGAAAAGAAATAGGAGAGTACTTAAGTGTGACTGGCAAGGGAATAAAGTTCAAGCCATAGCATATCAAATAATACGGCATGACATAGCAAAATTGTAAACTGAATTTTGTTGTTAATCATGACTGGATGCAAACCCAAATTCAGTAACTTCTTTTTTAAACACTTAATGAGATTAGGTTTTGGAACCTGACATTCAAGGTTTGAATCTTGACTCAGACACTTAAGAACTATTTAAAATTGGGTATCAGTTTTCTTATCTTCAAAGTGGAGAAATGAAATAAAATGGATTTTTTTAAAAATAGAGGAAATCTTCCCAGAGAGGGAGACAAACCATGAGAGAGATTCTTAACTATAGGACACAAACTGAGGGTTGATGGAGGCGGTGGAGGGGTGGGGTGATGGGGTAATTGGGTGATGGGAGTTAAAGAAGGCACATGATGTGATGAGCACTGGGTGTTATATGTAACTGATAAATTTATTGAGCTCTACATCTGAAGCTAGTGGTGTACAATATGTTGGCTAATTGAATTATTTTTTTTAAAAAAATAGAGGAAATCAACAAAACCAAGAGTTGTCCTTCAAAAGGATCAACAAAACTTGCAAACTTTTAGCTAGATCGATTAAGAAAAAGGAGAAAACTCAACTAAAATCAAAAAGAAAGAAGGGACAGTACTACCAACACTACAGAAATAAAAAATATTATAAAGTGAAAAAATAGTGCCTCCTCATGACAACCATTCTGAGGATGAAATGAGATCAGATTTGCATAGTGTTCAACATACTACAAGGCACATAATAAAATGGAAGACTGGTATATGTTAAGAGCTCCAGGTTCTGATGTAAACAAGCATGAGTTTGAAGTCTATTTTTTTAAAATTCCTTTATACATGAGAAACACACAGGCCTAGGCAGAGGGAGAAGCAGGCTCCCTGCAGGAAGCCTGATGTGGGACTCAATCCTGAAACTCCAGGATCACACCACAAGCCAAAGGGAGAGGCTCAATGGCTAAGCCACCCAGGCATCCTGAGCTTGAAGTCTATTTTGAATGCTATGCTGTCTCTCGTTTTAATTGTTTCCTACAATAACCCTATGAGGTTGGTATTATTATTATCCTATTTTATGTAAGTAAGAAAACTGAGCCTGACAGAGGTCAAATAACTTGCCCAAGATTTTCTATCTCTTAAAAGAGATGAGATTCAAACCAGATCTACCCCCAGAAAAATATAACTGTAAGTTAATATCCTGAGTCTATTTCACTAGTTTTATGAATAAACTAAATTGAATCTGTATAAAACATTACAATGATCTATCCTTTAGCTTTTGTTTCTTTTAGTAGGAAGTCAACCATCCATTGCTGATTAAAACTAATAACAAATATCTACTTAGTGTATGTATATGTAAGTCTAAACATGTAAAATAATGGAGTTGCCATAATGGGATGTTGTTGCTAGATAAATATTCCTGCCTTAAGCAGATTCTTGGTCTTGGAATATATTGGAAGTTCAGTAGGCTGTGATATTCCATTATGTTGAGTCTCTCTCCCTCTCTCTTTCTCTTTTTAACCATAGGCTCTTTTACTTTTTTTTTTTTTTCAGTTTCACTGTCTTCCCTGAAAAATGGTTATCTCTCTGCTTTCCAACTTCTTTTATCTTCTGTGAATCCAGATGAAACTTAATTTTTATTGTCACCAATTATTTTGAATGAACATTTTTCTTAATGTAATTTTCATCAAGATAGTTCCATTTATTAAGTCTTCATTCATTCACTTACTCGCTCTTTTATGCAGCAAACATTGAGTGGTGACCATGAACTTGTCTCTGGACTATGTTTCCAGGAAATAAGGATTAATAAGACTAGAGAGAGGCAGAGATGGAAATAGACAATCCCAGGGCAGTGTTACCTGCAGATTGGAATTGATGCTGGAGAGCGTAGAGTCTCCCATTTAATAGGGGGATGCAGGAGAAGTGACACAGAAATGGCGATGTTGCACCTCAAACTTCTATTTGTATGTTTATTTACTGTCTAGAAAATAATACATCATCTTTGTAGAAAACTTAGAAAGTATAAGGACAAGAGAAAAATAACCTATAATCATGCTATCGAGAGCCACTGTTAACAGTTGGTATATTTTTTAAGACCAACTTCTGCATGGATGAGCTCAAATTTTATAATTTTACTATATTACACATATTTTCTCAATCCTAAATTTTTTTAAAATTCTTTTTGTATGTGCATAATATTTTTCCATGTAGAAATACTAACATTCATTTTATCATTCCTTTATCGGTTGTTTCTCTCTTACAAATAACATTGTGTGCATAAATATTGGCCTGAATTCATGATTGTTTCCTTGAAAAGGAGTCCTGAAGGTGAATTACAGATGAAAGGGTATGATCACTTTTAAGACTCTTGACATTTTCTCCAGTGCCCTCTTCTTTAATGATCTCAAGGCAAGAGCTAAAGCCTCTAAGAAAGTCAGATGAATTACAAATTGGAGAAGTTCTTTAAAAATTCCTACACACTTCTGTGTATGTGTAGATATGCATGTGAATGTGTACACATGTTTGTGAGGAAGAGATAGCCACAGACACACACACACACACACACACACACACACACATCCTGATCCCTCCTACCTTAGAGGCATTGTGTACCCTCTCTAGCGGAGTAGCGGAGTACTTAAAATGGACTGTCTTTGTTGATTTTTTTTGGTGGTGGTGGTGGTTTTGTTTTATACACTACTGTATTTCCAGTGCCTGATATATGGTAGGAAATTAGTGAATGTTTCTTTAGCGAAAGAGAGGGAATAAAAACAAGACCAATAAATGTTTACTTTTTTAAACATCTTATTTTATTTGTTTTCAGCATCCAGCAAGACATGGTGGTGAACCCTGGCTCTAAGTCTTCATGATTAAGCGACTCTTTTGCACAACACAAAGGTAAATATCTGAGGCTGGTTGACTTGCTGGTATTAGGAAAATCTTCCTCTCTTCAAAAATGACTCACAGATGTCTCTGAGTCCTTCAAGTGATGGCTTTTATGTTTTGTGTTCCTTCTTAAAACACCTTAGAGGGTTCATGGAGCCTTCGGGAGTAGCTGCTTGGGGCAGCTTTTCTGTCTACTCTGTGGTGAGAAATTCCCTTTCTCCTTTTCTTTAAGCATCATTAGGAGTTTTAAGTTTTCCTGACTGGATTTTAGCCTCTCCTAGTATGTGGTCTCAAATTGGTTTGATTTTAAACACAACTATATTAGCTCTCCTCAAATGCCTTCCGCTTTAAATATATTACCAACAGAAAGAACAATTCTCATTTGTTGAAACTAAAGTCAAACCATATGTAAGATAAATGTTTCTATATAGAAAACAGACTTGGAGATTTACAAGCTTAAGAGCAAGTACTATTATTTTGAGGTCCTAAACTTTTAAATGATGGCGACACTGAGATCTGTACTTCATACAGGATGCGAAGAAGGCACAATTGAAAATGCCTATTCTTTTGACAAATTAGAAGCATTCATTGCAGTATCTATTTCTTGTTTACAAGGGATAATGCTGAATGAATCACAGACTGGTAGATGGATGTCCCTTCTGAACACTTTTAATTAGCACTGCCTATTAGGATGAACAGAGTGTTGCTTTCCTGCCATAGATTACCCCTAACCCCCCCTTAAATGGAACAGAAATCTTATTCTCCACAAGGTAATATTCATCTCTTCCCCAACCAGACAAGCATAGAAAATTAAACAATGGTCCGTTAAAAAGCCCAGATAGTGTATTTATCATTTCCAGTCTATATGAGTTTGCAAGGCAAATAGGAGTGGGAGCTATTCGTTATGGGACCTTGGGGAACAACGGGACTGGGAAGGGAGCTGGAGGCTGGAGGATCTGAGACTTGTAAAAATTCATTAAAAATATGAGGTGCTATTGGAGACAGAGGAAATTAATTACTCTCAGGGACTCAAATGTCACTACTCATTTAAGTGACCTGGCAAGGAGACTGAGAAACCTGTTTTGTGAGGGTTTGTGTAGTGGAGAAGGCTGGGAGCTGGGATTCCTCAGCTGTCAATTTTTGCATTTCCTTGGTGACTTATTGACATGTTAACCTGGCTTGCACCCCAGCCTCCTCTAATGAGTAGAGTTAAATGAGAAATGGGGGGTTGGGCTGGGGCTAACACTCTCCCCTATAGCTGGCCAGGTTATTCAGACCAGCTCACCAGACATATAAGCAGCTGTGGACCTGAGAGAAGCCTATAATTTACCACAATGGAGAGAAGAGCCTGATCATTTGCAGCTGGACTGAGTTTGGTCTTTTATTATTGCTTTTGCATCCACAAAGCTATTCTCTGAGGTGGAGTGCATTTGGAAAGACAAATTAAGGTTTTCCACCTAAGGAGGACTGGGGAGCAGTAGCTTCTGAAAACAGTCATCTTTTCCAGATTGCCTGTCTAATAAATCTCTCTAATGCATTCTGCCTATAGACAAAGGTTTAAAATATATAGATATGTGATGACTTAAAAGTTTAAAATCAGTAAACACCCAGAATAATGGAGTAAAAAGCTTTCTCACATGTGTGCCTTACCTAGACTGGGAATTTAAGGTTTTATTCTTGAACTCTGTTACTAACCAGCTGTGAGATACCACACAAGCCATCATAATGCTCCAAGACTCTCTTGTATTATTTATAAAATGGGAACAATAATATCCATCTTCTGTGATTGTTAAGGACAGTGTATCCAAAAGAGCTTTGAAGGGTGGAAATATATAAGTGCATGGTAGCCGTCTCACCAACTGGTATGTTTTGTTGTTTTAAAAGTCTTGCTTTTTAAACATGGGGGCTGCTCCAGTGATCTGTGTTCCCATGTGGGTCAAAGTTGAAGGGCTCAGCAGTATTCTTCTGGCTTGTTCATATAGGAAAGGTAAATCAACAGGCCAAAGAAGGAAGCACTGCTTTGGGAAAAAACTGTTCACGTGATGTTAAAAAAAAAAAGTGAAGCTTAGCTTTGGAAGGAGATGGAACCCCAGATATTCATCTCTGGGAGCAGTCCTCAGTACCATGTCTTCAATTTAAGAACATCCTGTCCCTTTGAAGCAGAAACAAATTTCATGCCTTGAAGGTAGTAGAAGAGATATTTGAAGATTATTCCTGTATTCCTAGAAAGAGGTGATGAGAAGATAAACCAGGGCAGGGTCAGTAAAGACAGAGAATAGAGAACTCTGAGAGGCTTTGGAAAGGAAGGAATTCTGGGCTTCCACAGAGTCAGGAGGTTTTGTACTGTGAAGAGAGAATAGTGCAGTGACTAAGCTCTAGAACATTCTTGAGATACTTGAAATGTCATTAATAGAAACATGAGAAAATGCAGGCTACAGTCCTTCTGCTCAAGGAACTCAGAGAGGTAAACAACGATCATATAGACCAGACAGAAATAAGCCCAGAAGAGCAATGCTGGGGATGGTGCTGAGAGGAAGGGTGCATCAGAGGATGAGCAGTACTGTGCTGGGTGAGCAAGAATTTGAGGCTGGGCATTGCACAGAGCAGCTGCTCCAAGCTACATGGAACCAGAGCTGCTCAGCTGCACATTGCAGATGCTGGTTTAGAAGCTACACTTGGCCTGTTCCATTTCCATGGCAGCCAGGGTTTTATATCCCAGTGTGCACTCAGTGATTTTCCAAGGTTTCTGTGCTATCATTGTCTCCTGGAAATAGTCTTGAAGGATTGCCTACCTATTCTCATTAGCCAGCCCTGTAGTGACCCATCCTGAGCATGCGCAGAAGGTATTCCCAGGGACCCAATTCTAAATAATTGCTAAAACCACTGTCCCCATCCCTTGGTGTTTTTTGGAGCTTTAATGCCATGTACCCTTTGAAATTGCTTGAAGGCTACCAATTGACATAACTGAGCTGTTGACTCTTCACTTACTATGTTAACCAAATGTGTCCATTTGAGTTCATTTAGTTATTATGTCATCATAGTGAGATAGTAATAAGATAGGAAAATTTTTTCACACTAGTCTTCCTTCCCTTTTTTTTTTCCTTTTTGAATTTATCTCTTTGGTGCCTCCTATTTGCCTCCTTATTAGTTTTGTTTTCTCAGATTCTGTTTACACTTCTACTGTTCCTCTTCAAAGGATAAAATTACACATTCTTCAACTTAGTTGGATGTAGGAGATTCTTGATACCAGAGGGTTCAACTGTAAAAACTTGTTCTTCGCCACATGGCAGCTTTCTGTATCTGGTATTTTTAATGGTGGCAGTGTTGCTTTCCAAAGCTGAATGTCTTTGATTGGAATCTCTACTTCAACATATAATAGTTGTCTAACATTGAGAAAATCAATTTCTTTAAAGTTGAATTTTCACATTAGTAAAATTAAGGTATCAATAATACTTTTCATATGGGATAGTTGTACGAATTTAATTAAAGAGTGTATATAAAAGAGTCTAGCACCTTATATATTGTCATTGAATGTTAGCTGCTGTTGCTTATAATATATGCTATTATAAATCCTTGAAATGTAATAGGCAGATGTGTTGATCTTTGGCAATAAGAGAGGGAGATGCTAGAAAGACACTCTCCTACTCTTTGAATGGGCTTAGAAAATGGAAATTCCTGGTGATGAAGGCATTAAAAGAAGCTAAATGTGTGGATTCACAGAAGTTTTCCCTGGCCAGACAGTCACTTGGGTGCCAAACAGTCAGAAGGCATGTTGAGCTCCCTGAATTTTGGCTGGGCATCTGGAGAGCATCTAAGTCAACCCTGCCCCAGATACAATATTTCTTCCAGAGAGTATGCCAGTGTAGCTGGATTGAATTACCCTACTCAGAATTCAATTTCCTTTATGTTTCCAGTGAGAGTGGAACATGGGGAGAGACTTGGGAGATTGGAGGATAGAAGGGAAGCTGCAGCCACTCTACAGCTCACATGTTGTTGCCGATCTGCTGACTCACCTGATTGGCAAGAAGCAGCATCTGGGCCCGTGACTACTTTCCCTTTTCCTGGATGCTCCTCCAGCTTCTCCAACTCTTCATCCAGATACGTGTGTTTAGCTACTTGAGAAAAGGCACCTGCTACAGCAGGTCATCCACATGGGCAAGCTGGGAAGCAGTGAAAGCCAAGGTCGCAGTTAGTTTCCATGAAATTTCTTTCGGTGCATGCTTATGGGTTCCAGGCTGCTCCTGATTCTCCCCATTATTTATATCCATCTTTCCTTCCTAATCGCCCGCCCAGTGGGCTTCAAACTCCAGCAGCAGACATGATTAACGGACATACAGACTGTTTAACCAGTTTCCACAATTGCTTAAGGTCAAATTGCTCTATTAAATAAATACCACAAAAAAATAATAAATACCACATATATGTTTATTTTGCATATATGTAGTATTATAAATAGTATATATCCTTTATATATAGAATTTATTGAGCAGAGGAATAGAACAAAGCACTGGAGGATTATATATGGGTTTGTGTATGTGTGTATATCTACCAGTGCTTGTTTCTGCTTCTGTGGTTGATCCCCACCTGATTCAGTTGCTCATAAGCTTTTTATAACGGGGAACTCTGCACTCCATAAGGCGGCCCATTTCTCTTCTACCTCCCAGCCACCATTCCTCTTTCTGTGATATAGCAAAAGAGAAATTAAATCCATATTCCAGGGATCCCTGGGTGGCGCAGCGGTTTAGCGCCTGCCTTTGGCCCAGGGCGCGATCCTGGAGACCTGGGATCGAATCCCACGTCAGGCTCCCGGTGCATGGAGCCTGCTTCTCCCTCTGCCTGTGTCTCTGCCTCTCTCTCTCTCTCTCTCTCTCTCTCTGACTATCATAAAAAAATTAAAAAAATAAATCCATATTCCAGAAATGTTGTTTTTCAGCCCAGGGTATATCTCACTTTCTCCCTAGGACTTCTGCCCCTCTCAACCCAAAATGCTTGCATAAACTTACTGTTGTGAC